CAAACAAATGGGTCCTAGAACAGATTAAGCCAGAGATATCCCTAGAAGGCAAGATGACCAAACTCAGGCTGTCGTACTTTGGACACATCATAAGAAGAGAGGACTTATTGGAAAAGACAACAATGTTAGGAAAGGTGGAAGGAAGTAGAAAAAGAGGAAGGCCACATGCTTCATGGATGGACTTTATTAAAGAGACCACAAATAAGAGTTTGAAGGAGCTGGGCAGAGCAGTAGAAGACACGGGGACCTGGAGATGTCTCATCCATAGGGTCGCCATGGGTCAAGATCAACATGAACGCAAACAACAAGAACAACAAAACTGCAATGACTCCATGCTATGGGATTCTGGGAATTGTTTTTTTTTTTTGGAGACATTGAGCCTTCTCTGTCAGATAGCTCTAGGGCCACAACAAACTACCATTCCCAGAAGTCCATAGCATTGAGCCCAGGCAGTTTAAGGACTTTATCGCACAGATAATAAAACCAGCTTTTCTGAGCTGGCTTAAAATTTTAAATGGGCGGCATCCTGATGTTATCAAATGGATTTAGCCACTGAAATCGCCTCCCGGGTGCAGCCTGGGTCCATCCCTGCTCACAGGGATGCTCCGGAGCCCATTTCCTTAAGCTGGAAAACTCCCAGCTTCGAAAAGAGGTGCATTGAGCACCCCTGAGAGTAGAGCTGGACTTTGGCTGGACCCGGGCAGTGATTTTGGCGGCTAAATCCTTCTGATAACATCAGGATGCCACCCGTTTTAAATTTTAAGCCAGCTCAGGTAACCAGTTTTATTATCTGTGAGATAAACTGCAAAGTGGTACCAAACTGGATTATTTCTGTAGTGTGGATGTAGCCCTAATCTCCCTTGCCATGGCAGTTAAAGCAGTGTCAAGCTGAATTAATTCTGCAGTGCAGCTCCAGTGAAGAAAAGGAGGTTGAGATGTGCTGGAGGCAGCCGCAACCAGGGTGACCCAGTGTCCTCAAAGGAGGACAAAGCACCGCACAATGTAGGGCTGTCAAGAAAAAATGGAGGCCATTCCCAAACAAAAGCTAAGAACACTCATAGAAATATAAATTCCTGCTTCTTAATCATGCTCCAAATGGAGGACATTTTTGACACTCCTCCTGGACAGAGGAAGGCTGAAATGGAGGACCTGGTCTGGAAAAAGGAGGAACTGTGGTCACCCTGTGGAGGCATCAGAGCAGGCTGAACACCTCATTGTTTTGTGCCTTCAAGAAAAATGTAGGATATTACAAAATGAACGCTAAAAACACTCCTGGAAAAGGAGGACACCTGGTCACCCAGGCCACAAGGCACCAGCTAAAAGCACCACCTCTAGATAGTGGAAAGGGAATCAAATACCCCGCCTAGGATTGTGTGCCTGCCCCTCCTTTTCCACCTTCTCCCAGACAGGTATAAAATTGAATCCACCTGAAAGGCTGCAGGCAGCCCTTCGCACAACCCAGGAGCCCGCATCTTGGAAAAGTTTGGGTATTTAGTGGTGCTAGAGGGCTCCTCTGCTCAGGTAGTAGTGGGGAGCTGCAAAACAAAGGTGCTAGTCCTCATTGTGCAGCTACCTGAGGAGAATTTAGAAAAGAGGAGGAGGAGGAGGTTTTCGTAAAGAAGAGGGCCACAGGCACTACCTTTTGGGAGCCAAGGAGGCTCAGAGAGGACTCCTGGAAGAGAAAGCCAAAAAAGGATGGAGAGGTTGCCAAAGAAACTACACATC